TGAGTGTGTAAGATAGTGTATACTTGTATGTTTTGGGTGGGTGGGTGGGATCGCGCAAATTGCATGGTGTCCAGCGCCCCAAAAAGCTCTTCTGAAACTCCTTTCAGCTCAAACTCCGAATGCTGAAATACGAAGTTCCTTCTCTCTCTTTTGAGCTTAAAGTCGAGTCGAGTTTAGATCGAGCATTGCGGTCGATGTTCACGTGGCACAAATCGACGGCTCTGAAAAGTATTCCCTTAGCTGAAAACTAAGGAGCTCTATCGACTAGAGTCTCGTGTAAAACATATGCACTGCTTGCGCTGCTGCTGATGGTCGATCATAAAATTTTGGGCCGGACCCAAAAGAACTTGCCCAAAAGTATGGCGGGCAAAGGAGTGCTTTGCTATTGCAGGGGTCCAGAGAGCTTTGCCCGTGCAACTTGGAAACGTGCTCGGGGTGTTGAAGAAGACCTTGGTGGTCAGTCTGGCGTGGATGAGAATGCAGTACGTGCATTTTATGCTGAGGCCTTACAGGGTGCTGCATCTGTAGCGAATCGGAGCATAAGCAGCGCATTCGAAGAGAGTCGTCAGAAGACTTGGCAAGAATTTCGAGAGTTCTGCGGGTTCATCGGTAAGGGTTTAGAGGAGATTATCGATCTAGATGTACTGGCTTTTCTGCACGGGTACTGGCTACCTCGTCACAGGGAGGCGTGTCGTACCGTTGTGGGAGGGGACGGGTGCAAAACGGCTTCCGCTTCGGCGATAAAGAACATCATCTGTCATTTGAATAAGAGCTTTAGCATGTTGGGTCGGCAAGGGGAGAATAATCCCACCCAGTCAGAGGCAGTACGGAACTACCGGGACGGCTACCGAAATATGCTGCACGACAAGGGCGTGCGCGAAAAAAGGGCGGTCGTTTTCAAGGAGTCCAAGGTTCAGGATCTCGTGGACTGGTTGGAAAGTCGGCTGGCGTGTGCGTATGGGATTCCAATGTGCAGTATGTTGACTGATTTGTCCATCGTGCATTATTTGTGGGAGTCTTGGAGTCGGGGAAAGGAGTGCGGTACCTTGGAGTATCGTCAAGTCGGCTTCGACGATGGCATAGTCCGCGCAGGTTGGAGCAAAACGATTCATCAAGAGCCTAGTGCGGAGATCGCGGTCGGAACAGGATTTCTGCGTGCAGCTGCTCGACTAGTCGTTGCGTGCGAGCAAGTCGGAGATCCGATCGGCACAGGTTTCCTCTTCCGTCCTCTGAACGAAAGGAAAAAACGGGTTCAAAGCGGAGCCGATGAGCAGCGGAACGATGAGGCGACGGATTCAGAAATGCCTGAAGGACGCAGGGCTTTTCGAGGGTGAAACGCTGCACAGCTTCAGGCGTTCAGCTGTGCAGCACGCTGCTTCGATAGAAGGTTACGACGTGGCGAAATTAATGCAGCGTGGTCGGTGGGCTAGTTATGCAGCGTTCCGTTTATACATAGAGGAGATAGAATCAGAATTCCCACGTAGATCCGGAGCCCGACATTAGTACTTTGTTACAGAATCTACATAATTCTTGTAAAGTTCCTTAGCATCCAATGAGCGTTTCAATCAAGACTTTATCTTCCTCAATGGCTCATGCATGATCACTTCAAATTCCATGGACATAGGCGTATATAGTTACACAATTGATTGCGGTTATGCAAATACTCTGTTGCATCATGCTTTGATTTCGAGTCTGTCGTTTCAAGAAGAATTTGCTGCCCGGTTCGTCGCTTAGAATTCGCAACGCGCATAAGCCAGGCGTTTTCGGAATGCTATCTCCAGTTAACGTAAAGCACTTCTAAGCCTAAGAATGCAGGATTAAGAGCTTTGCTTGGCACTCTTAGACTGGCCGTGCAGCTATCCGCCAACCTTGGGATCTTATAGATCCCTTCTACTTTTGCACTACCAAACTCCCGGATCTGATTCTCTGCCAACGATCCCCTCGGCGCTGAAACGCATATCAATGCGTTGATCTGAAAGTCGGCGACGCGTTGCAGCACTTGCGTAGTGATCCCGACTGGTGGGAAAATCCATGCACACTCGCCTTCTGGAATTAACTCCCTCCAGTCTTGCGCCAAAGCGTGCACTCGAGTGCAACCCGGAGTGAAGTACTTCGAGACGAAACGTCGTGTGACGTGAAAGACGTCTGAGGCGAACAGGTCGATCGTCGACTTGACCTTGAAGTACTCCGTCACCTTCTGGAAGACGCTCGGGGAAATGCCCCAATCAGAGGCGTCCGGTTCCCTGGAGAGAGCGTCCGCTTCCGCGAGTTCCTCCCGGGGTACCCATCGCGTCACCAAATCGAAACGGAATTTGGCGCACAGCTCCAGGACTCGTTTGAGGGCGGAACGTATCAACGGAACTGAGCTGCGGAAACGCCCGACGGCAGCTAACCCGGCTTGGCTGTCCCCGGTTAGGATAACCGCCTTTTCCGTAACCGCGCTCGGCACCTTCTCGGTTATCACCTCCATCATCTTCGCATAACCGATGACCTCCCTTTCTGCGCTCGACGCTCCCGCTTGCCCCTTCGTAAAGGTTCCCCCCACTTCTAGTTTTCTTCCGTCGGGTAGTTCTGCCCAACCCCCAAACCCGACCTCTGAAGCGTCCACCTGAGCGCGCACCGCGGCCGGCCGCGGCCACCACCTTCGTCCGTTCCACTCGTCCAGGTTGTTCAACCAGAACGCCGCGGTTTCCGCCACCGCTGAAGGAGTCGGAAAAAGTTCGTCCCACGTTTCCTTTCCGCTCAGCGCTCCGTAGAAAGACCGGCTGTAGAGCGCCACCGGCAGGACTGCCGGCGCCGCGGACGTTAGGAGACCTGCCATCCTGGCCAGCTTGCACGGAGTGGTGGACGGACTCTCGGTCATTTCCTTGAGCGCCTCCTTTAGTTTCTCGAGTCTGTTCTTCCCAAGTCTGAACTCCGTCCGCTCCGAGTCAACCAGAAAACCGAGCCACTTTAGAAGGAGAACCGGCTCCAGCTGACACTTTGGAATTCCGAAATGAGCCCCCAGCGCTCCCATCAGGAGCACGATGAACAGGATCTGACGCAAAGCCCTTCCGAATGTTTCGGCTGCGGTGAACGAATCGTCAATGTAACCTGACATCGGAATCTTCCTGGCTCGGAGTTCCAATATTGGCTCTCTCATAATTTTGGTGAACACGTAGCACGCTTGGGCAAACCCGAAGCACAGGACTTTGTAGAAAAAGGTTTTGCCGCCAACTTTGAAAGCAAAATACTTCCAGTATGCCGGATGGATTGGCACATGGAAGTATCCAGACTTTAGGTCTGCTGTCGCCATGTAAAAGCCCTGCCGCGTGAACGTGAGAATGTCTCTGTTTTTCTCGTATTCGAACGGGATTTGTTCGAGAAACACGTTCACGTACCTATTGTTGCAGATCAGTCTTTCCTTGCCAGCTGATTCCACTACGCCCATTGGACTGATCACTTCAGGCGGCTCAGCATCCGGCGGCCAGATGCCGATCGCACCGGACTTGAGGTTTTTTCGGATCTCGGATTCAGAGAATTCCCACCGCTTATAGAAGGAGCGATGATTTGGAAATTCAATCCTGTGAGGCGTCTTTCCAGCCAAGTACTCGCCTACTCTTCGCTCTCCTACCGTCTTTGCTAGCATAGCTTTCACGACTTTCAACTTGTCGGGTTTTGCGTTCCGGGTTTCTTCAAACCTAGGTCTAAACCCGTTTTTGAGCCAGCTTAGGACCGACCTGGCTGACTTCCTACCCGAGCTCTGTAGTAGTTCGTTCCAAGCTGGGAAGAAGGATTGGAAGCTGCTGACTACGAAATTTTCGTGGTCGGGAATAACGGATTGAAGCTTCTTGATCAGATTCAGGGACTCAGCTACTGATTCCGGTGTTGGTTCATTGGGTTCTGTCTCCATTGCTTTCAGCACTTCGCGGATTCTGTTTGCTTGGACAATTGGATCTGGGGCATTCACCGGTCTAGCTTCAATTCCTTTCATTTCCTTTTCCCAACCTTCGCTAGACCAGACACTCTGGTTCTGAGTTAGGGGATCGGCATCAGGGTTTATTTGATCCGATTCCGGGTCTCCTGACTCTTCCGTTTCCGGCCCAGCTTCCGGATTCTGCGGTTCGCTTCCGACTCGACAAGCAGACACGACGTAGAGACCACCTCACCCTCTGTTTGCTCTTCCGACGGATCACATTCGTTTTCTTCGACACGCCTAATCGCCTCTCCTCTTCTCGGCTCCTCCACCCCGCCCTTTTTTGCTCCTTCTCCTTCCCACGTTAGTGGTGCAGAGGGTGTGCTGGGTTTTGCAGGTTCCGTGGTGTCGCGCGGGCTCATCTGCCGGGGTCTCTTCGGAGTCGGTTCGCCCAGACAACCTCCTCGCGTATCTCTGTCGGGAATTCAAATGAAAACTCAGAACCATCATATATAACATGACATCGAAGCACTCAATCGGATCCGTTCGGTTCTGCATCCCGTTTTGTTGGACAAGGAATTTGTACAAACGTGGATACTCTCGCACTTTACAAGCCAGATTTAGATCCTTGGTATTTACAATTGTCTTCTAAACCGATTTGTCTAAGCCATTTGTGTCTGGAGGGTTTTTCCTCTCTCCTATGGTTCTGGTTTTAATTCTCCTCTCCTCTACAGACTTTTGAATGACGTCACTCGTTCTGACGTCATTCTGACGTAAACCTTATCTACTCAAACTACCATATACCACAAGTCTGCTGACTATACACGTTCTCGAAACCTTAACCCCTTTTCTAACACCCTTCTAAATTGCCTCACTATCGCCGACATCCGAATTTTCTTCTGCCGCTCACTCTCTGTTACGCGGTCCTGGCCCGACGTTCTGGGGGATCCCTCCACCAGCTCCTCTAGCGTACGGAGGACGCCCTCTGCCAGCTGGCCATTGCCCCGGGTTCTGGTTGTGGTAGGCCGGAGGAGGCGGTGGCGCAAAGTATTGCCCCCTGTAGATATGCATAACAAAAAACTTTTGAGTCTGAGGTCGTAACTCCAAAAACTCTCGATTCTCGAACCGTGATTCTTCTCAGTTCCACGTTCCTGAGTACTCCTAGTTTCTTCAAAGGTTTTTGATTTCTCAAACTGGAAACGCGCAGCTCTGCAAAGGTTGCTAGAGCATTCAGTGTTCAGATCGGTGAAACTTGAAAGGCTCAAGTTTCGCGAGTCCAAGGTGGACAAGCTTAAAGAATCCGATTGGTCGATCGGCATTTCGTCGCATCGTAGCGAACCAAGTCTTGCAAGTCTGATGTTTCATCTGTCGATCCTATCACAGCTTTCCGGATCCCACACCTTTTCGACTAAATGCTTTCAAAACGAGCTTCCGTTCGCGGTTATTTACCTGTTTTCTTCTCTGAGCCACTCCGGATGTTTAGCCAGCACTTCTTCGGCCTTGACCTTCTTCTCTTGGAAGCAGCGCAGGACTTCTTTCTCGACCGCGGCCACCTGAGCTGCCGTTGGGTTCTCGCCTAGCTCTCTGACCTTCTGCTGGGCAAAAGTGTGAATATCTTCTGCCATGTAGTTCAGCTTGATGCATCTATTCTTGAGGAAAACCCCCATGTCATCAGCTAGCGCTAGCGTTCCTTTGTGAGCCGTTGGAGCTGCATAGATGGCCGAGAACATCTCGTGCTGTGCAAAGAGGCCTCGCTTCTTGAACGGATCTATCGCCGTCGCATGGCGTCTAAGCTCTGACTCCATTGCTGCCTTATCTGTGTTTGCTCTGACTTGCTCTTCCAGATGCGCGAGACGAGATTGAAAGTCTGACGGATTGGGATGAGCTGCTGCCGGCTGCGCATTTTCTAGGATTCTGAATCCACCCAGATACGGGTTTGCTGCAAACTGCTGATCTGGCTGACTGGCGAAACCTTGACGGAATGGACGCTCCAAAGACGGCTGCTGGCAATAGCTCCGCTGAGCTTCTTCTTCCCTCACTCTACCGAAGCCAGGTGGGCCTCCCGGCATTTCTTCGAACTCCAGAGGCGTTCTTCCCCTCGGCCTGCTCCTTTCCCCCGGTTCTCCTTCATCCGGTCTAGCTGCCCACTGGAAGAGTCCCGGTCTGTCAGTCGGCGCTTCCCTCTCACGACTCGGTTCACGAAAATCGAAACCCCTTGCTCCTTCTTCTCTGTATTGACCGAAGGGATCCCTCTGGCGCCCAGCCGCATCGAACCCCTCGTAGGGCGACTTGTAAACTGCTGGCATTCTCTCCCTGGGGGAAAATTCATGCGTTCCGCCTTCAGGAGTTACATACCGCTCCGACCTGTCTCGAACTTCAGGAGAACGCCCGAGAAGTTTGAGAAAAGGTTCCCACTCCAGCCCATTCTCTCTCAGCAGCCCGATCAGGGGATCCCCTTCGTTGCGGCTCCTTACCCCTATCGACAGCTCCTCAGGTTTGACCTTCCCGTAAGTCTCCTCCGTTTCCAAATTCTTGAGTTCGAGCCCGCTGTCACCTTCTGA